TAGCAAGAACGTGGAACGTGTCTTTTGACCGACAGTTTTGGTCGCCAAATGGCACCGCAGATAAATAATTATGATCGGGGCCCTTTGAACCGGTTGGTTTGCTGTTAAATGACATCGCTAAATTACGATAATATCTAGAGCCCGTATGCTCCCTAATGACTCTAAATCCCTGAGTTATGAATTAACAAGATATAATCGATAGGGCACAAAGTGCTCTGTTAGCTAAGGTGGATTCAAATTTATCCCTTTAGACAAAGTCCCCGGGTCTACAAGGTACCTTTGGACGAAGCAACCCATGGCTGCCAACAAAGATTCTTTTGTCAGGTTGGGTTGACTACCTCCTATGACTAAGTAGACCAGAGACCAAGATGGCTTGGGATGATGGAATCATGGGATCTTGATCAAGCTCATCATCATTCCCTCCACCATTCGCTTTAAGTGCAAGGTGGTAAATTTTTTATTTTAAATATTAAATTTTCAAATACCAAACCCATGTGCTGCTACTATATGCCAGATACAATATCTCTACATATCTGATCGACAACTAGCTTTAATTGAAAGTTCTCTATCGCTATCGGGAGAGGTAACTAACAATAGGGGCTTGCACCTATAGGAAACCAGAACTCAGATCTAAAGTCCTTGCAAGTTGAGGGCGAAATCTCTATGTAGTATCTTATTTCAAACCCAATATGCCTTCTGAAAATTTACCCCGGAACTTATTCCTGAAAGAGGGGAGACCGAGGCGGAAATTTTCGGAGCTCACAATTCATTATTCTGATCTATTTGACAAATGCTTTGGTTTACAGTATACATCAAACGACCCATATCAAGTTTATGGTTTTTCCTGAATGGATAGCCATTGAACTAATTGACAACCATTGAAATATGTTATACAACACTTCCTTTGCAACCTCTTTCTCTCACTTCTATTGAGGGATATTTGTTTTGGTGTTGTGATGATTAGACAGTGATATGCGTCCACATTGACATTTGGCACTCATGAGTGTTGTTGATTTGTTTATGAAACTCTTTTATTAGAGTTGAATACCTATATTCTCCATCTTTTAAGATTTTAACAATCCTTGTTATCAATGAAGGGCTGCAACAGGCTAGCCGTTGTATTTACAGGCTTGAGTCCAGTTCAGAATTTGATTAAGTACCTAAATTTTATGGTGTTCAAATTTTTCGATATATTGGATGTTGGGCGCCGTTTGAGGTATGATCCTCTGGACAAAACTTTCTTTTCTTTTTTAATTTTTGATATTGTTGATCTCCGTTCATATTTCACAAATCAATTCGACCAAATGAAAAAAGACCGTGAATTACATGATAGGATTAAATGCGGCATCTAAGACAAACAAGGAATGCAGCATCACTCAGAAGTTGCTTGTTTCTCAAAATAGTTCTCCTCCAAAATATCAAAATTACTATAAAAACCCCTACAATCAATATAATTGAACATGACGAAAACAATGAATAATATACACGACGTCACTGAATCCGCAACGCGTACATGCAAGTGGAAGGTGATCTTTTTATTTTTCAAAATGAAATTTTGTGTGCAGTTTAACAAGAAATGCTCGCACAAACTACCAAAATTCAGATTTTTTTAAATCCCACATGTATCAAAATATAATTAGTAAATTCAAGTATGTCGCTTCGAGATAAGTGCAATTGCTTTAAGAATTGTGTGCCAGCCTTGAGAATCATGTAGCTGCTTCAAAAAGCGTGCTATTGTGTCGAGAAGTGTGCAATTGTAATGACAAGCAAATTGATAGGTCACAAACTTTCTTTCAATTGTAAATTTAAGCTCCAAGTTTACACTATTTCTTGATCGTTTGCCTTACATGTAGGGCAAAGCCGTAAGTCTTGCATTTTAAGTCCGATCTTTCTCATCGCAAAGATTAGAGTTGATAAGATTTAAGTCTTAATGATAGCTATGTTGAAAAAAAATCTCAACCAACAGGGACCCTACTTTCTAAATTCTCCTAAATCCCATATTTCAGGGTCACACCTAGATATAAATATTAAATTCAAAAGAAATTATAAATCATAAAAATTGAAACAAAATTTATTCATCATTTGCAACTATTTGTCAAGGGTGAAAATTTTAAAAATAACCTCAGCTCACAAAAAGTTAATGTCTTCTCAAACTCATTACTACGATTCTCTCTCAAATAATCTATTGTTAATGACATGCTCTCAAGTTTTTGGTTTTGCTTGATACATATGATAGGTCTTGAAAGTTGCATTTGCATTTATCGAAAAGGCAAAAAGGCAAAAAATATTACTGTATGAGCAATGTTATCATCATCCTCCCCCAACAAAACTAAAAAAGTAGGTGGAGGATTTGTCAATACAAAGATCATTCCACAAAAAAATACATTGTAAATCAAATTTTGGCACAATAGTTGGCTACTATGTTGCAGCATCATTAGATTTGATGAAAAATAACCTGCTTGAAATGGGTGAGGAAGGCAATATCAGGTCCCTCTTTTGGAAGGGCTGCCCATTCAGCTTTCTCCAGAGTGTGCTGTAAAAGCGTAATGACACTAATGTTATCTCTTTCAACAATTACTCCATCCAGCTCAAGCATCCAACATGTCTTCCTGGGCGAGAAGGCAGTGATTAGAGATGGAGCGATTGGGGATAAAAGTGCCTTGTTCTTTAGAAATTATGGATGGAAGCGGATTCTAAATAGTTTGACACAAGTTAATGGGCATTATCAACTTTAGGAATCCGAATGACATGTGTCTCTTTCCAATGCTAAGGCATTTGATCACTAAGAAAGAATTTAGACACAACAGCCCGAACTTCCCTCTTAACAATGTTCTAGAAACATTTAAAGAAAGAGGAGGTGATCTCATCGGTCCCATGCGACCTATTACTAGGGGTTCAAATGAGTCAAGTCGAGCTTGAACCAGGGGTGTTCGAGTCGAGTTCAATTATCAAATACTAAGCTCGAGTCGAGCTCAAAATTTGGGCTCGAGCTCGACTCGTCTTCATGTCGAGCGGCTCGTCGAGCTCTGCTGTTGAGAATCTAGATCCATCGCTCGTCATGGTGTCTGTCGTCGTAGTCGTCGCGTCTACTATCGAGATCGTCGTACCGAGCTGTCTGAGCGTAACCTTTGTAGTCCCAAGGTCTGTTTGTCATTGTCCCGAGGTCCATCCCTCGTCATCGTCACAATATTCACGAGGCGGTTGGATTTCCCGCCCAAGAGCTCTGCCGTCGAGCTGACGAGTCGATCAACAGTCTGTTTGAGCTCGAGCTCGATAAGCCTTCGAGCTCGAAATCGTGTCTAGCGTGACTTGCGAGCCCGATAAGCTCGACTCGTCGAGCATGTTACCGAGTCGAGTCCGGGCCGGCTCGTGAGTAGGCTTGACTCGTTTGCACCCCTACTTATTACTATTCATGGATTAATGGGTTGTTGTTTCCCCTTAGCATTGAATAATTGATAAATCTCAATAATTACAGCCGGCTTCTCAGTGAACTGATTCTGAGGAAATTTAAGTTGGTTGATTTGGTTCCCCCATCTTTTGGCAAATGCCAGATAGGAAAAATTGAGTATTGGCATCCCCGTCTTTTGAGCCAACAAACCTTACCTCCTTGCTGCCACCTGGAGCTGATGCATATGATAGGTCACAAAGCCTTTTATCACGATGAGGAAAACTAAAGTTGAACTCTCCATCAGCTTTCACCCTGATCTATGAAGTCCCTTTGAACAAAATAATCCGTGATTGCCAGCAACGTTCTTTCAATTAAGTTAGGTTCATTGACTAAATAGAATATAGCTCATGACTACTTTGGATAATGGAACTATATGATTTTGATCACAACATAAGTCTATTAGAGAGCTCATATTCTTAACCTTGATTGAGGGTTCTTTACCATACTTAGAGGTAATTGACCAAAGGGTTTTGTCCTTGTAGGAAATTTTCAAATTAGAAACATGAAGTCCTTGCAATAGGGCCAATTATCTAAGTAGTACTTCATCACTATTTAATATACTTCATGGAACAAATGCTCTTCTTCATATGTTCATTTGTGAACTTCGGGGTAGCTTTTTAAGAACTCATAATAAAACTCGTAGCAAGAGTCACACCCTCAGAATTATAAGATTTTAATTGCTTTTAAATTATAAATTTAAAGGATTTTCTTGATTATAAAAATGGGTTTGAGGCATGTATATGCATGACGTATTTCCAAGATAATATTTTTATTAAATGTGTAATTTCTTTTAGTCTTCTTCTCTATCAAGCAGGTAATTGAATATTTTTTATAGTGGCAATCTCCTTGTATTAGCAGGAGGCTTGATTTGATAATTTATTTTCCTTATTCATTATTTTTATTCTCTTAAATTTTAATTTTTCTTGCATGTTTGATTGATTTTTATCAAGTTTAATGCACCAGAATTTCTAAAATGACAAGACTTTAAGTAGATTGTACGATTGTTAGGTTTCTAAATTTTTATGGATTTTTCCTAATAAAAGGTATTAAATTATCATCCATAAGGATTTCTTCATACTTATAATTTTCATCTTAGGAAGCAAGAAGAAATCAAAATGTAGAGTTTTCGATCTGCAAAGTTTTGTGTGCATTTGCACAATTTGATGCGCATCATAAAAGACTGGTATTCGCAGACCATTCATTTTGTTATCTTCTTAGGACAACCATAGATGCTATGAGTTTCTTAATCTCATTGGTATTTCATTGATAATAATAATAACAAGGTAAGTTAGCATTATAAGAAAAATAAATAGCTTAATATCCTTTTCATATGCACTCAGGAAATTGACAGTTTAAACTCTGATTTTTTAGATATAACCTGCAGTGCTTTGTACTAGTTTTGGCATTCCAAAAGCTGTGAATATTACCTTTTTTTTAGCAATAAACTTTGGAATATTATTCCTTAATATATTTTTACTGTATTTTACTCTAACTTTGTACCACTTGAGCCTTAAAATTTGTTCTAACTTATTCGCCTTTTATTTGCTTACAGTGATTCAAGCGACTCCGAAGACGAGTATGCTGATTCTTGCATCTGTACAATAATGTAGATAGATCTCTTATTTATTTTCATTCTTCTTATCATCACGAGAGACGAACTCTTATCGCAGATATCGTTCAACTGACTCGATTTGGTGTGATGCTTTCGTCAGTTGCATGCTCATTTGCTGTTGCCTTCGAGTACAAAGATGACAAATCTCAAGCAGCCAAAATCATTCATTTTTTTTCATGATGGAAACATCCTTCTTTCCCTTCATGTTTGTTTTGAGAACTCTAACAACTGTTTATAGTTGGCATTTTAGATTTATGGGTGGCATTGAGAAGCACAAAAGCAAAATTTCCAAATTTAAAGCTGCTGGCTCTGCAGATCAATGGAGAAGAGTTTCATAGCAGCTGGTCTATTAACCTTTTATTTATAAGCAGTGAGTTCAGATTTCTCCTCCAAATCTATTTATTTTGATTTGTGGGCAAACTGTTTAATATCCAATGCCAGTCCAAAACTCCCACTCGAGTCAGTGTGCACAATAGGTTTTGATTTGATTTATAGCTTATCTTGAAATAATCAATATTCAAGAGAATAAATATGTTGTTAGATATGTTTTTTTGTTGCCATTTCTTAAGAGAGGATATGCCCATATTGCGTCATTTGTCACTATTTTTCTACCATATCTCTATTTTATTAGCAATATTCATGTAAGGTTGAGGAGGGTTAAGTTTGAGGCTTTGAGCATGACTATTTATTTTCATTACTTTCGTTTGTCCTTTGTTTTCATTTTTAGTTTTTTTCTACTAGCTATTTCCATTAGTCAAAACATTTAAGGCACATTTCGTTGGGCTATTGATGTCAATAAAAGTCATTTGCTATGATAGTGTTTAATACATGTAAGATATAGTACACCCACGTCATGTGTTAGACATGTCGTAAATTTTTCTATTAGAAAAATAATAAAAGAAGTGACATCAATAGCTCAATGAAATGTGACATCAATGATGTTAGACATAGTTCTAACATGTGTTGTAATTAAGGGTTGTTTGATTTGAAATAAAGTGGGTGTAAAGTAATCATTTTACATGAAAAGTACTGATGCTAGGTTGGATTAGGGCTGTCAATATTTGACACGACATGAAAATCCGACTCGAAAAATCCGGGCTGGACCCGACCCATTTGAAAAACGGGTCGGGTTCGGGTTGACCTGACGGGTTGCCAGGTCAACCCGCATTCAGCCGCCCGTACGAGTCTGCAACGCGCGGCTTCCCGAGCACCTGCGTGCACGAGTTCGTGCCTGTGCAGGCGCGTTGCAACGCACCCGGCCGCGCACACAGCCAACCTCGCACCCGCCGCCCCAGCCAGCCGCGCACCCGCGCAGAACTCGAGTTAGTTCCGACTTTGCCCCGAACCTGCCTCGTGATCCGAAATTGACACCCCTAGGTTGGATGAAAAAAGGATGCAAAGTGAAGGAACATAATATTAAATGTTTTAGTTCATTTTTTGTGCTAAAATAAACTCGTTGAGTGAAAACCAATATTGTCGCAAGCAGGGATGTCAATTTCGGGTCACGGGTCGGGTTCGAGTTTAACCCGGAATTGACCTGACATTATTCGGGTCAGCCTGTATTCGACCCATTTTTGCAATTGGGTCAGTTTTTCATACCCGAACTTGAGTTGCTTCGGGTCCGTGTCAATCTGACGTGACATACATGACCTGACATAAATGACCTGGGGCTAACAAAAAATTGCTAGTTTTCAAGTAAAAAAAATGTTTTTATCTCCGATTTTCGGATAAAAAACCGGTCAATCTCGGATTTTCGGGTAAAAAATGGGTCAATCTTGGGTTTCTGGTCAACCTGAACCCAACCTTGTTTTTGAAACTGGTCGATTAGTTGAACCTGAACCTGACCCAATTCGGGTTCAAGTTGACCCATTTCGGGTTCAAGTTGACCCTAACCCAGAATTTTTGAGTCGGGTTCAGTTCAAATTTTTGGGTCGTGTCAGCTCCTAATTGCAAGCAAGTTTTGTTTGTCATTTAACTGCCGTCGCTGCCACCATCACTCTCTTTTTGGGTGGAAGATTTTAGTTTAATAGTTTCGATTAATAATTACATCTACTGCGCAAGACTCATTTTGAATTTTTCATTCCGAAATGCATTTTATATAAAAAAAAAGAATCTCTAACATTTACATTCTTCTATGAGAGGGAGGAACAAAAGAAAGTTCATATGAATTTTCGGTGTAAAATCACTTTGCCTAATACTAAAGGGGGTATTGCTTTATATTATATCTTCACTCTCGATCAAATTTTCAAAATGAAAATTGTGGTAAAACATTGAAATCCATAAACTTATTGTGGGAACAATAATTTCATCAATTATATCATTTTAGAATCTATCACAGTTGAAATCTCCTAATCACAGTTCTGCATTCCCTAATGAAAATATGATAAATGTAGATTGATCAATCGATTGTTTGGTCGAAGATAGTTAAGATGGTGAAGGGAAACGAGGAATAGAGAAAGGCTTTGTTGATAAGTTACCCTAAACCCCGATAACCACGGTAGAAACGCTTGTCAGCAAATTATAGGCCCTTTGTCTCCACTTGTTGATCTCTTGTGCTTCATCAGTAGTGAGGTAGCTCCAGCACTGAGAAAGGGAATGTTGTGGCCTCATTTTGGAGAGATTATTACCAGCGGAGTTCGGATATAGAGAATCGTTCGGTTTTGTTATTATGAACTATAAATACGCATGAGTGAACAAAAATTACGCTTTTACTGTTTATAGTTGTTGACCTTTTTTTTTGGCAATTAGTCACTCGCATTTCATAGGTTGATTCACTTGTATGCATGTTGCACCGCTTTGTGTGTGATAAAGGATCAAATCATGTATTTTATCTCGATTCATCATCGCCTTTGGAATTCATTCTTTTTTATCACACATTGTTCATTATCATGTTTTAAAATATGTGTGATCGGACCGACGTCGACTTGATGTGTAATTTACTTGCATTTGAACATTTATAGCACATGTTTGTTCCATGAGAAAAATCTTTTAATTAGTACCTCATTTTGCGAAACGGATTGCACAAGCACGTCCGGATCGTCGAGATCTCTCAAATAAACTTATTCATGCCTACATCGGGATTTGTTTGAGCTATATCAACCGTGTTGGATGGATCTTACTATTTTACTATTATTAATTTATTTTTTACTAATATTATCATTTAAATATTATTTAATTAGTCATATAAATATTATATTAATCATCATTTAAATATTAATTTACTCATTACTTAAAATTAATAGGGTCTGGTTTAAGCTTGATTTTTGCCATATTGGTTCAAATTGAAATCAATTTAACTCCCACCTACTTTTCGAGCTATTTAAATTCATGCACATATCAGGAAATTGAGTTAACGGCTCCGATTTCGTCAACGGCCCGGTTGGTCAGACAAGGTAGTCCCGTGATATGCCCATTTGAGTATGAATTCAGGCAGCTTAGCCAAAAAACCCGTTCTTCCTTCTTCGTTTCTCCCATTCGGACACCCAGCAGAAGACTTCTCCTGGTCCGGCTCGGGGACCTCCCTCCTCTCCCTCTCTCTACACTCCAACCCCTCTCGCGCAAGAGAAGACGAGCAATATCAGCCCTTCTATAGAAGCTCCCAGTGGCGGAACTACTGTAGCAGCAGGGGGGGCAATTGCCCCCCCTCAAAAAATGTAAAATTCCCTTAAGAGTAAGGGTTGTTAAGTAATTTGCCCCCAAATATGTTAAAACTTGCCCTAATATTTCATTTTTCCGCCTCATTTGTCCCTATTCCTCTCCGAAAGCACAGAACGGCGAACGCTGAGTACGCGACCCTCTGCCATCTCCGGCTCTCTACCTGATTTTTCGTTCTTGTCTTCTTGACATTCGAATCGGGGAAGAAGACTGAAGAGGACATCATTTTTCATCATTCTTAGGTGCTTTGGTAAGTCCTCTTCATTACTTCTTCATTTCTTCGGTTGTTCTTCCAATCTTCCGCCCTCTTCGGATAATCGGCTCTTCATCGTTTCTTTGGTTGTCAACCAGACTACCAGTCAACCAGATTTTGGTTTTTCTTATTGATTGGACCTTACAACCACATTCGCTTTTCGATTTTGCAGCAAGGGATTGGACCCTGCTTCGACTTCGCAGCAAGGGATTGGATCATTGGAACTCGCCGGAGGAAAATTAGCCGTCAAAGTGAAGATTATACAGCCATACAGGTAATAAAAATTAAGCTTTAAAATATTCTTGAATCTTGATCTTGCTTGGCTGCTTCACAATGATAATAGTAAACTTCTCTGTAAATAAAACCTTAAATTACTACTAAATGTTTGAAATTCTTAGCCCATAAAGATCTGATAATTTTTAGAACCTTAAAAAATAAAGATATTTATGATAGCTACAAAAATAGATAATTAAACTTTACAGAATGAGTTATTTTAAGAGTTTCTAATACAATTATTAGAAAAAAAAATGTCATATTCGGATGGCACAATCACAGAAAAAAGAAGACAATAATTGGAGCTGAACCTAAATAATATAATTGCTAAAATCTAATAAATAATGGTGAAAGGAGTTTGAGGTTTGTACAGAATGAGTTATAATTTAACAGAATGAGTTATAATGGTAAATAACATAGCTGTAGCGGTTTATACTTGTTGAATGTTGAGGTTTGTACATGTGAATGTTATCAGCAAATTGATATTTAGGTTTTCTATGAGATCGTGTTTGTACTTGTTAGGTTTCGATGCATAGCATTAGCCATGTTTTTGGAAATAGCGGTATACTTGTTGTATTGTTACAGTGTCTCGAAATTTTTTATTAACGATTACTCTTCTTTGGTAATAAATTTCATTATAGGTTAAATAAATGGAGCGTTATTTAAAGAGGAAAGAGCGAATAGAATTTGATATTAATATTCTCCCAGCAGATCCAGGACTACGACTTCCTATTTGGAGTTATGATCTAAATGATAGAGATAAGATTCGGAGATCATATTTATTGAAGGGACCCCATCAACCCAGAAGTCATCAATTTCCCCAAACTTTATATGGTAATATTGCACGTAGATTCAATCCGAAATGGTTTGATGAATTCTCTGATTGGTTAGAGTATAGTGTTCAGAAAGACGCTGCTTATTGTCTTTACTGTTATCTGTTTAAACCTCAAGAGCAGATTATTAAAGGTCAAGGCGGCGGGGATTCATTTATTGGAGATGGTTTCAAAAATTGGAAGAAGAAAGAGAAATTATTATGCCACATTGGAGATCACAATAGTATACATAATAAGGCTAGACAAAAATGTGAAGATTTGATGAAGAATCAAGAACACAATCTTCCAGCTTTATGGCTAAGCAAAGATGATAAGAACAAAAAACAATATAAGATCATGTTAACTGCAGCTATTGATTGTGTTAGATTTTTGTTACGTCAGGGATTATCATTTCGTGGGCATGATGAGTCTTCTAATTCAGAGAATCGAGGAAATTATTTAGAGCTACTTGACTTTCTAGCTGATCATAATGAGGAAATTAAGACAGTGACTTCTGCATATGCGAACTCAAATCTGAAGTTAACTTCACCAAAAGTTCAGAAAGAAATATGTTTTGCTGCATCAGCTCAAACTTTAACATAAGAAAATTTTGCAGAGGAAAGGTGTTCTGATTGATATAATGGAGTCTTTTGATTTTATTTTTACAATGCATCTGATGATTGATATATTGGGCATTACGAATGAGTTATCACAATCATTGCAGAGGAAAGATCAATTGAAAATGCAATGAAATTGGTTCAAATTTCTAAACAACGACTGCAACTACTAAGGGAGAATGGATGAAATACTTTACTAGAAGAAGTGTCACGTTTTTGTGGTGTTTTTGAAGTTGTTATTCCAAACATGAATGAAACATACAAAACTCGTCGTCGATCAGTGAAAAGAGGTGAAGATAAAACAAATCTACATCATTATCGTGTTGATCTATTTTATACTGTAGTGGACATGCAACTACAAGAGCTAAATAATCGCTTTTCTGAATCAAGTGAATCTTGATCTTGCTTGGCTGCTTCATCAATGATAATAGTAATAATCGCTATTTTATACTGTAGTGGACATGCAACTACAAGAGCTAAATAATCGCTTTTCTGAATCAAGTACTAAGTTACTTCTTTATGTGGCATGCTTAAACCCAAGTGATTCATTTTGTGCTTATGATGAGAGGAAATTAATATGTCTAGCAGAGTTATATCCAAATGATTTTTTTATAGTTGAGGTTGTTGCTCTTAAAAGTCAATTATCAACGTACATTATTGATATGCGGACCAGTAATGAGTTCTCCTGTCTAAGAAGTATTGCTGATCTTGCAAAGCATATTGTTAAGTTCAAGAAGAATGACGTGTATCCTTTAGTTTACAGACTTATTACTTTAGCATTAACTTTACCAGTTGCAACTGCTACCGTGGAGAGAGCATTTTCAGCCATGAAAATTATTAAACATCTATTGCGTAGTAGGATGGGTGATGATTGGCTCAACGATTGCCTTGTGCCTTACATTGAAAAAGATGTGTTTGATTTGGTTCCCAATGAAGATATAATCCATTATTATCAAAAAATGCAAAATAGATTGATAAAATTGTAATGGTTTTTAATTTATCTATCATATTGGAATAGAAGATTTCACTTTGAATTATATCTTTATTTTGTTTTTTTTTTAATATTTGTCTATTAATAAGAAAATTTTGCCCCCCCTAAGATGAAAGGCTGGTTCCGCCCCTGGAAGCTCCCATGCCGCCGGCTTCCTCCATTCCACGTACAGCAGCAGCCTTCCAGGCCTTCGGACGTCCTGCCACGAGATCTTCCGGCCTACCACCAGCCCGAGCTAATCTGCCTCACAGTGATCTCCCTGACAGCTCAAGTAGCTGAATCACTTTCGTGTCTTCCATATTCTGCTTCAGCAGTTGGGGCAAAGCAAGGTTAGTGGAGCTATTGTTGTTCGTCCCTTTTGAAGAGGGGAGTTCTGTCGTCTACAACAGTGCGAGGCGAGCAAAAAGAACAGAAGAAGAGAAAGGAGACCATCTCATCAGGTGGATATTGATGGAAGAGAAGATGAACACATGGCTTCTTTAGTATCAGATTCCCATACGAGCCATCAAGATCCTTGGGGTGACGAGAAGGAGATTGGATATTTTGGCTTTTCTCGGTTTACTGCTCAGAGGGCACAGTGAGTAGGTATTTATCATTACTTATAAGCCATTACTTAGTCTTATTACATGCCACTATAAAGATTGCAGTAAGTGTGGTGTAGGTTGCGGCTACAGCCGGTGAAGCAGAAGAAGAAAGCAAGAGCTCTGATACCATGATGAATGCTTTAGCTAGATTCAAGAACAGTAAACAAAACAAAAGGTAAACCATAAACAGAGTATAAAACTGATTTTGAACTAAACCATATTCTGTATTCCTCAACACATTTGATACAACCCAATATATGTATTTAAATCGGCAGATGAGATAAGAAGGTAATGTAGAGAAGAAAAGCAGCCGTTAGATAAGTATATTAGAGAACAGTTGAGATGAGTGCAGAGGAATTCTGCATTGGGCGGCTGAGGTAGGCGCTGTAGTTTCTGGTGTTAGTGTACAGAGAAATGGTTAGTAACTATGAAGCCGCCTCCACTTAACAATTGTACCTTCAAATACGACAGAAGCGCCGCCCTATCATTGTCTTTCATGTTCAACTTCTCCCACCATTGTCTGTCACCCCAAATCTTTTTTAGCTTCCTTACAGCCATCTCCTTCCCAAAAGGCAGTGCCTTCATCTCCGGGTAATCCATAACATGCATCACTTCCAATGAAGAGAACACAAATGACACTCCAAACACTCTCAAGCTTCTCAAATCTCTCACGCAGAGCCTCCTAAGACTTGGGAATGCCCATCCGACTGCCCCAACGCTATCTCCTCCTCTCCACGGAGACCGATTTCATTATCAAGTTCGACTATTTGCTCCATTTCGCTGCAACGGTACGAAGTCAGATCTTCCAAGCTCGATAACCGGATCACCCACGAGAGATTTGACAAGTTGTGGCAACCAAAAATCATCAATACTGTCAGACTCGACAGCATTTCCGCATGATAAACTCCTCTCCAAACAATATCCTTTATCTCTGACAAGCTCCTGAGCTCTACTTCCACGAGAGGGAATACTTATTGTTACCATCTACACCACCTCTAAACTCTCGCAAAACTCGATTTTCAGCATATTGATACTGAAATGAATGATTCGGCTCCCTCACTACAAAGTCAAGAACCTGACAGACTTATGGTGTTGATGTTGCTGCTAACATAAACGAATGTTGCATCTTCATAGTCGTATCAGTCGTTTTAGTATCCAGATGCTAAAAGTGGAGTTTTGTGATAGTTTAGAGGTGATGTCGATGGTATGTGACGGTGACGGCGATAAGTGTTCCCACTCAAGACTGGACGAAGTAGAGCTCAGAAGCATGCCAGAGCTAAAGGAGATTGTTTGGAGAGGAGTTTGCCCTGCCGAATTCGATTGTGCTGACGATTTCTAGTTACCACAACTTGCCAAACCTCTCGTGGCTGATCTGATTACTGAACTTGGAATATCTCACATTGTACAATTGCATCGAAATGGAGCAAATAACTGATATTGATAATGAAATCGGTCTCGATGGTGAGGAGAATGACGTTGGGGTGGCCGGTTGGGCATTCTCAAGTCTTACGAAGCTCTGCTTGAGGGATTTGAGAAGCTTGAGAGTATTTGGAGTGTCATTTGTGTTCTCTTTCATTGGAAGTGGTCCATTTTATGGATTGCCCGAAGATGAAGACGCTACCTTTTGGGAATGAGATGACTATAAGGAGGCTTAAAAAGATTTAGGGTGATAAACAATGGTGGGAGAAGTTGGACATGGCAGGGGAAGATAGGGCTGGACTTCTGCCATATTTGAATACATCAGCTAATTACACGCCACTGATCAAAAATACATTAGGTAAATCCTACAAATAATAAGATTTCATTCTTAGAACTACAAACACCGACCTCGAAAGCATTGCTAGACCACAAAAACATATCCTTACCCGCCAAACCACCAATGATCGATGCCTACAAGACGGAGCGTCAAGGAGGCTGAAGTCGCTAAGTTACGGTTGCAAGACAACCAGCTGCCTTCTAATCCATAGAGAGAGAGGAGCCCTTGCCCAATTATGTTGGACTTGAGGTATATAATTTCTTAATCTGCACCTCAGGTCCTCAAGTGGCGATAAAGCCGCAGCTAACTCTGGCTTTTCATTGGTTTAACTATGGATATATATGGTATGTTGCTTCTTTCATATTTAAAGGATTTTCATCAATTCTTTTGATGGTTTATGTTGTTAAAAATATGATCAAATAATGTGCATTACTGAATGATTTCATCATCATATTACAAGTACGTACGATATTGTCTATTAATTGTCACTTTTTTATCTATTAATTGTCACTTAATCCCAATCTAATGATAATATGTAGGTGTACACAACTCATTTTGATATGTTAGTTGAGCGCTTAGACTATCAACTAAGAGGTCTTGGATTCGAGTTTTGTGTATGCGATGCATGTATAAATATGCCTTAATTGGCCTATATATCCCCCCAAAAAAGTAATACATAGGCGTGGAGTGTTATTAACGATGGTGCAGCTTTTAATCATAATATTTTGATACAAACTTTTTCAAAATACTTTAGGTTAGAACAAATCACACATGCATATTATTGTGTGTTGGAACATTCACAAAAGTAAAGAAATTGAGAGTTTAACATCTTAATATTATATAAATAAGAAGAGGATGTAAGAATTATAATGGGCGCTAGAGTTATTATGCGAAAACACATAGAAATGGTAAAAATCATGGGGCATGGCCTTGTCAAAAATATTCCATTGGTATTGATATTTGATTACAAGTGAAGCCTTTCTTTGGAGGAAAGTATTGATACACAATGAAGTACACATTAGCTGGCTAAAGTTGAAAGAGTCATTTGGTAGAAATTAAATATAAATAAAGACGACAGAGTTGATATCGATGACGTGCATCAATCTTATATGACAACATGTGTTGGCATAATTAGCGATGATAGGTGATGAAGTTAGTAGGAATTTGAGTAGCCATGCAATAATGATCAGAAGATTGTAGGTCAATGATGTAACACCCTATAATCTAGGGAAAAAAATTTAACTTACTTTATCTATAAGCTTCTAAACCCCCAATGATACTCTTACCTCCCAGAGTTATCTAATCATCCAATAAATAAAATAAAATATAATATCAGGAGATAATATTTCTCCTCTATTTTTTTTTCATCCATAATTTTATATTTCATGATATTAATTTCAACGAAATTCCTAAATAAATTCTTGCTCACTATCATAATCAACTTATTTGATCGGGTCCATTCCATTTTCTAAAATATTTTAAATAATAAAAAGAGTACAAAACTCAATAGACAAACCTTTCTCCTTAATAAAACTTAATTCACAACTTATAATTAAAATAAGCAAGATAACAAAGAGTTTATATTTTTATTATAATTTATAATAAAACATGATTTACACATTATAGAGCATGACAATATGACGATTTATACTCATAAGCAAATATGAATATAAAAAATACACATGTATCAATGCAAGTTATAACTCTCCCCTTTTCCACCACCCACCTACTTTAGACAGGTGTGAAGCAAAATTGTAATAGAGCAGAGTATTTTCAACACAGAATCATTATAGAGTCGTAATAGATTAAGAGTTGTATAGAGTTGATATATATTTTTTTGAACTTCCCTTTCCATCTTTTTTTTTAGTAATATCAATAACTATAAATAATAACTATATCACTAATAATAATAGTAAACATTAACAATATTGACAACAATAAACACTATTAATGAAAAACATAAACCTAACATATGGACTACGTTGGGTTGATTTTGGATTTGGGATGGGCTTCAATGGGCTGTTGTTTGGGTTTGAAACGGATTGAGATGGGTTATTGCGGTTGGCTGTTGATATGGGGAACTGGGCTATTGTTTAGATGGATGTATAGTGGGCTAATTTAAATTTAGGGTTTGTATCAGTTACGAGGAAGAGGGATGTGGGCTGATTTGAACCTGTTGTGGGCTTTTGAGTGGCTTTCAAATTTTAGCTTGTAGATTAGGTAAAGGGAATCAGATGGGGGTTGTGGCTATCTAAGGAACGGAGAGGGGAGGGCAGCTCTAGGTCGAGTCGGGTTATGTTATAAAGGCCTATGACCATTTTTTCATACATGATAGTGCAATCATATTCTTTGCATTATGTTCTCCGCTAAGCAGAATCTTTTCAAAGACTCACAACAGTCACAAAATTGAACGATTCTTTGTAAAAAAAATTATTCAGAAAATAATAAGAAAACTATCCCAAACAAAACGAAACATTAATCTTAACCAAAAATCTAAAACATAATATACTCTTAAAAAATCATTAAGTTTCAAACTCCCTATGTTTAAACAATCCTATTGAGGAGAAGATTTTACGCATGTAAATATTTTAATGTGACAGTATATTTGCAAAATATCGCGCCTTAAGAACCCAGGCTCAGTAATTAGTAGTTATGAATCCTTATAAGCATAATATTCCTCTTGTATTTCGAATTCCATTAGCACCCACCCAACAATTTATATGTTCTTTAATTTTTTTAGACTCTAATTTAAAAAAAAAAAGAGTATGCCCAAATAATGATGCTAGAGTTAGGGATGGCAACACAAATCATCGCCGCCAGACTTCCGCGGATCACCGTTGGACCTTCATTGATCTCCACCGGGCCGCTGACTACCGCCTGGCTGTCAATTGATGTCGGACTTTTACCTAGCTGCCGACTGTGATTGGACTTCTACTCGACTACCGCTGAACCACCGCCCATTTGCCGATCACTGTCGGACTTCCACGAACCAAAGCTGAACCTCCCCTAGTCACTGCCAGACCACTAACTGTCGCTCGATCGCTGTCCACCGCTCGAATGCTGACCACCGCCAAACATCCACTAGACTGTTGTCCACCTTCCAAAATATCTGATCACTGTCTGGCCATTGACCGACGGCGAACTTTCGTCCAACTGTCATTGGACTTCCGCCCAACTCTCCAAATTAGTGTAATTACACCGCCTCTAAGTTAAGGGGTATGTTAGCTCTTATAAGTCACCTAAATTTAGTGTTATCTTTTCATCTGGATGAGACCCTGTAGTTTTTCCTGCTTCGACTTATAACCTCATTTTTATATAATGCATATGGCCCTATGTATGTTTTAGCCAAAAAAAAAAAAAAAAAAAAAAAAAAAAAAAAAAAAAAAAAAAAGATCAGTTAGCAGCTCTATTAATATTTTTAAAGAGATGGTAATCAACATCTCAATTCTACATTTATATTTCTAAAGGAAATTAGGTTAGATATTCTGGCCCTTTTTTGTAGTTACTCATTAATGAATTAAATGTCATTAGAAGTAAATATTTGATTTGAATATCTTACCAAAACCCACATATTCAATATTTAGTCGGTTTAATAAATAATAATGATGATAGCTAATTATATAATCGCTATTTATAAGTAACTATTAATTATATATGCATGTATAAATTTGTGTCAAATGCTGAAATAAATAATTTTCAGGCTCATGACATGATGAAGGCTTTGTTTAGGACGGTTTTTTTTCTGCTTCTTAAAGTAGCTTTATAGTACAAATATTTTTAATTTTTGTACAAAAAAATTGTTTTAAGAAACAGTAAGAAAGCCATCCCAAACGAAGCCGAAGTTATGTTGAAGACTTTTTTAGAAGCTTAGTTGGGAGAGATGACCTAATAATGGAATTGTAGCTACAATTGGTAGGTTCAAAATTAGATGATATATATGGAAGTGCGGGTAATAATGCAATATATGCATGTGAGGATAAGATGAACATGAGGAGTATTTGGGATAGCATGTGCCCATATCATAAGTATTATATTTTTACACGCACTTGCATCTTATTTCGAATCTATATATTGCATTGCCAGTCTTCATCTTTTTCTCAAGGTCTCTTTTTTCCTTTCACTTCGCTTCCTACTAAGCTAGTCTGGTCATGTGCGTCAACATCATCCAGTTGGATGCACTCCAAATTTTCACTCAGATTTGTCGTGGCAAATTGGATATCTTCGAGATCCTGCACCCAAAATTACTCAGCTTACCGAAGCCATGATCCATCTCCGATGCAAGGTCGAGGACATCAATAACAGAATTCGCTCCGCCGAGCGGCACGGCCAAACGGTGACCTATGAAGTCTGAGACTGATTAAAAAAGATCGCCACCATTAACAAAAGTGTATCTAAAATCCAAACTGACCATGAAAATGACACCTTTCGTTGGTGGCAAGACCATGGTACGGTTGGCCGGCGGCGGCTCGGCCGGGACTTCCTGCACTCCGTTTGGTGGCAGCCTGGTGGCAACGATGCCAAATTCGGAGGATTTAACCAACGAGCTGACTTCAGTGAGACTTTGTACAGCGCGGTGGTTGATGGACCAACAAAAGGTGCCATTTTCATGGTCAGTTTGGATTTTAGAGACATTTTTGTTAATGACGGCGATATTTCTTAACCAGTCTCGGACTTCATAGGTTACCGTTTGGCCGTTCCGCTCGGCGGAGCGGATTCTGTTATTGATGTCCTCGACCTTGCATTGAAGATGGATCATGGCTTCGGTGAGCTGAGTAATTCTGAATTAAGGATCCCGGAGATATCCAATTTGTCATGCCAGGTTTGGGTGATAAATTTGAGTGCATCGAACTGGACGTTGACGCACATGGCCAGACGAGCTTAGTAGGAAGCACAAGTGCAAGGAGAAAAGAGACTTGAGAGAAAGATGAAGACGGGTAATGCAATCAGGTCTGTCCATATGACGGTAAGAAAATTGAGTGGATGGAACTGGACGTTGACCCGAAGCACAACTGCAAGAAACAAAGAGACCTTGAGAGAAAGATGAAGACTGGGAATTAATGGCGGAGGAAGCTGAATGGGAGTTGCAAATGATAAAAGGGAAACTGCCGTGCAAGACTTTTTATTTTTATTTTTTATTTTTGGTTGAATTTAAGACTTTGGAGTCAATTCGATCATTCTGAAATTTAAGACCTTAGATTATCTTGTTGCAAATTCCAGGATTCCAAGATTTATAAGTATTTAGGAGATTTTGTAATTTAAAATTATTCATATTAATTAAATTTTCAGTTATGTTAATTTCATAAATCCATTGTAACATAAAACTGTTAGTAATTTAATCCAATTTGTATGTTTTTATCGATTTACTATTTTACCCTTTCTTTAGGTAGTTTTATAGTTTAAATAGAGAAGGCTTGTATAGTTTGAATGAGCTGAATTGAATAAAGATTAAGGCTTCGTTTGGGAC